CAATCACTTTGGGGTTAATCATCGTTTAATCAAGCAACTTCGTAAACACATTACTCATTATCACATGGATATGATATAAAATCACAATGACTTGATCATCAATTGAGCAACACCATGAGCAACACCCACGTCATTACTTCAAAGGTTTATGTGACTAACAAGTGTCAACTCGATTCGACAAAATGCAACATAAATGCCACACTCCACCAATAGAGATTTACAACACCCAACACCACTAACTTTTGCTCATAACATGGATAAACACATGCCACTCTTTTTCCGACCAAACTCAAAACTAATCCAACACCAAGCTACTCAAGAAGCAATAGCAAGGTTCCCGGGAAAAGAATTGAGCATTGTAACTCAAATCTTCCAATAGCAAGTCTAGACAAAATAGTATAGCGCTTCACCACTATCCATCCCACAACTCACCATTTGTAAAACTATCATCTCCAACATGCATCTAGGGACCCTTGATTGTATAATGTGACCATGAGCAATAAGTCACACTTCGTTGCAAATCATCTCTCCAAGAAGAAAAGATGACTTACGTGTTTGATCCTTCGTCCCCGATGACTCTCTTTTCATTCTCAACTTTGACTAAACCTCAAACTTGCATTCGCATTGCCTTTAGTCCAATCCAAGAAAAGTTTATGAGAGAGTATGGCAACAATTACTTGAATCAATAGACTTATCCCCATAGTCTTGATTGATCCACTTGTAACCATGCCTAAGAAAGATCCATTAGTGCCGTGCTAAATAGCTACGGACCAGCCTATTTGCCACTCATAGCAAACTTAGGGAAAGTTTGCTTTCACCCACGATATATGAAACAACTCATGGAACCACCGATATGCTAACATTAATCCCGCCAACTCAAAGTGTAATCTCGAGTTGCTAATGTGTCTCACTCACGAGCTCAAGTACAAACTCGTGTAAATGGAACAACTCAATCCTTCTTGTGAGCCCAAGCTCAAGCTCACAGAATATGGTACAACAAGGTAACCAAACCCATACCCAAGGAATGATTGCGAAGTCTTTTGCAACTAAACGTGTACCCACTCAGATCATCGTTTTCATCTCTGCGTATGCAACGAGATTAGTTGCCCAATCTCATTGAATAGTACTCGTTGAGACTCATTCTTTGATACCAAATGTAGCGCACGTGGTTTTGACCCTTTATCCTATGGTAATTTACCATAGGATAACACCACGAAGCGGAACCTAAACCCTCTATGTGGCATGTGTCATATGCCACCACGTGTCCATGCCACGTGTCCATAGAAACCCGAGGTTCAAGGCCTTGGGCCATTGAACGAAGGAACGGTGCCAAACTCCCAAGCATGGAGCCAAGGAGTGACAGAACCGAACCACGGAGCAACTCCCAAGTATAAAGCCCAAGGAGCGAAGGGGCAGGAGCCCGGAGCGACTTGGAACAGTCCTGGAGCAACCAGCATCCCAATGCTAGGACCAACATGCAAAACGAAGCCAAACAGAGTTTAGCGCTATTTCAGCATACCGGTGGCCTAACGCGAGGATATGGGTACTCCACCTGCCAGCATGGAATGGAACTTGGGTTTAGACCCAAGCCGGATGCAGAACAAGGAAAGGCACGCAAGTGGGAGCTAGACTATGCCTCAAGTTGGTCGGCCATACCTGACCTACCCACTATCCCTACTATATATTTGGAACCCCCCACAGCCCCCCTTGAGGAACACACGCTTTGGGCTTTCACCCCAAGCCTCCCTTAGTATTAGGAGTTAATCTCTGGGACAAGTTCGAAACTTACTAAATATGAAATGTCCCTAGATTGCGAATGTGGACACGGGACGAACACTATTGTGTTCAGGATGATCTCTACATTCTGTAGATATGCCAAATGAGCAAATCTGGACACTTTCTATAAATAGCATTTGGGACTAAAATGAGACCAACACAAAGGGCATGATAGCGAGGGTGTTTGGCAGACACGGTAAGCTATCATTTAGCAATATTAAGGGACTAATCTCAATATCGCGGGGGTTCTTGATACTACTAAATGCAAGCCAATGACACAAGTTTCTCAAATCAGGCCGAGTATGCTTAGCAAGAAACACATAGGGTTCCTACCTTATGTTTATTCAATCTAAGTGCATGTTCATTGACTAGTTTCTCAACTAGCTCAAGTGGGAACTGATAACGGGTTCAGCAATACCGACCTCCATAAACACGAGTGCTACATCCATTTGCCATAACCACCATATAAATTATTGAGCTCTTTTCCACAGGTAAACCAAGTTTCTACACCACCTTGGAGCTTAAAAAGTTGTGAGTAGCACTTGGATCGAAAAGAATACTAATAACACTACCCTGAATGTCCCCTTTGGCTCATAAGTTAATTGCGCATAGAACCATTAATGTCTATAGAGTTGATACAAACTTGAGATTGAGATTCTTGAACTTGTGCCACAGGGCATGGAAGAGCCACCATAGTAGATGCCTAAGCTAAATCCATGATGGATTCCACCATATTCATCTTAATATTCTTTGATCCCTTTACAAGAGGACAATCCTTGCCATAATATTTAGCCTTCTGACAATGAAAACAATTGCCCTCCACATTATCTTTCTCTCGCTGGTCCAAATAATATCTTTTGGCCACATTACTATCTCCATTCTTTGAGCCACAATGGAACAATAGTTATTTCTTCCCCAAAGATGAAGTATTGGTAGGTTAGTCATTACATTAACCAGAGTTGACCAAATTGACAGTTTGGGTGAAAAGATTTGGGCTTTAGTGATAGCATTAGTTAATGTTGCTAGAAAATCCTTCTTGACTTTCTGTTGCACATTTAATGAGCTCAATCCTTTGATGAAACATTGCACCTTTAGCAGCTCATTATAAGTGCCCATGAAACTAAGGCAAAGATCACATACATATCTAAAAACAAAGTCCCTTGCTAAATCTTTAACAGCTGGTTCACAAAATAACCTCTTCAAGCTTCTTGACAACTGAAGTGTGGAAAACTTTCATCAAATCAGTTTAAGAAGTTGGCTTCGGATTAGCTTTGATGTAACTCTTTCATCACGAAAAAGCATGGCCCGTAAGCTTCGTTACAAAAAAATCAATTTTCACTTTTTCTTTATAAAGATTGTGAGACTAACAACTTTCCCATAATTCCAAACTTTTTGACTATCATAAACATTCAATAATGACTTTCATTCCATGATACCATATGCTTGATATACCAATAGTAATCATAGATATGAGATTGAGTTAATCCTTAAGGGTCCATGTGAAGCAAGAAATTTTTAATAAGATTGATAGAATCCTTAACCTCTTTTATGTTGCTTTGAACCTCAAAAATCTAATGTCCTTGCCGCACAACAACATCATCAAAAGTCTCTTCTTCATCATCATATAGCCATCATCACTATCATCACTAACACCATACTCCTCATCAGGATCAATATCTTGCTCACTTGCCATCCTTAAAAGAACGTGCTGCTCCAATACTGATGAAACAAATAAGAGTGAACCCTCATTATAGCTTTAAATCCCACAGGCCATAGAATATTCTTAGAATAATCCTGTGGCAGCTGAATTCCCTCGAGGCAATGGTGGCAAAGGAAGCGGCAGTGGGGCAGTTGAATTCCCTTGAGGCAGTGGTGGAGGAGGCAGAGGTGGTGGTGGCGGTGGCAGCTTTGCAGTAAAACTCGGAAGCTCGAACAGAAGTGGTGGAGGAGGCGGAGGAGGGGGATGACCAGCAACAGAAACTACTGGTGGTGGTGGTGGTGGTGGTGGAGCAGGAGGTGGAGACTGCAAAATAGCCAACCTCCGAGGTGGTGGAGTGGTGAAGGAGTACCTGGTGCGAAGCTAGGGTTAAACGATAACGTTGGACTTGTCCACCGTGACACCCCTAACTGATAATCAAAACGGGCGATGATGGAGGAGGTGGTGGTACTGGAAATAAGTGTCCACTCGTCGTCCGCTGCCGCTAGTGCTGCTCTATCCATTGGAAGTCTCCTGTCCTCAAACCCATTGCCAACCGTGGTCAGCTGCTGTCTCTGCCACCGTCTAACCAGTCCCCGCAACTGAAGAGCTCCTGGACCTTGGCAAAAGCTTCCATCGGCAAGCCACCTTTCTCTTCCATCAGCGCACAGGCGCCACAGGGGACGAAAATCCATCCGTCTCGCGAAAAGAAAAGATTGATTTTGCCAAAATTGGTTCAGCTTTGCTTGCTTACCTCTGGTCGGGAGTCCTTGGAGAAGCACTCCTTCCCGTTCCAGAGTATGTCAATGTCGTCCCGGTTGAGCATCAGGATGTTGGAGCGGATGAACGCGGTGTTAAACATGACCCAGAACATCATCTCCTCCCGGTCTGACTCCAAGTCCAAGTGGATGCACTCGAGAACCACACCCCCTTGCACGGCACACTGTACATCGATCTTCATCACATCACAATCTGTCTGGAAGCTGGAACACACAAGAGCATTACTGACCAAAGCAAAAGAAAACAAGCTCACCACCTTACCGGTCGATAATGCCACAGACTTGCTCTTCTTTCCCAAGGCAAAGAGCATCCTCATCGTCCTGTTCAACGCTTTCGATCGGGGATCTCTTCCATAAATGCGGCCCCTCGTCCGGATCGGAAGCTGGCACCACTTTGAGGATGAGGCAGTCGAGGCTGAGCGAGTGTTGTTCCTTCTAGCAATGTACTGGAGATATCTCAGCTGCCATCGGATTGGGAGGAGTGAGCAGCTGCATCAATCCCTTTGGAGCCTCCCGGTGGAGCATATCGAGCGTCTTGAATTCGCCCGTGTACATCTTCCTGTAGATGAGAAAGCTGGCGAGAATGAACGCCAGCAGCAGCCATCCCCCCCTCTCGCAGTGCACCAGGACGATGTTTTGCTGCCTCTCCTCACAGCCGTCGGACCACATATAGATCAAACGATCCAATTAAACAACCATTCCTCCCGTTAAAAATGGCCACATCATCCAGGGACTCTTTGGCTTTGCACTGAGTCTTTGCTAGGGACGCTTTGATTTGAGCGGTGATGGAGAATGGCGGTCCTCTCTCCAAGAAGGAGAGATGGAAGCGGCGCTCTACGGAATGCCAGCATTCTAGGGCAAGGCGCTGGATCGCGAGCTGGCCTCTTCCGGCATTCCAAGCCCTGCTACATTTTCTCCTCGGGACCGTCGCCTTCTTCCTCACCTTGGCGGCCAGCGAGAATGTAGGTTGAGTTGAGGCGCTCACGCTCGATCTCGCAGGATTTCGCCGGTGTCTGGCCGATTTTCGACGCGGCACACTCTTGCGACTTCCGGAAAGTACAGTAATACGCATGCTTTCGCTGTGTTTCCGGTTCGTGTTAGAGTCCTCAAAGGGATGGAAATTCCTTTCTTTGCAGATTGTCCAGGGTCTTATCAACGAGCTAGAGGCTCAAGGGGCTTTACCTCGGAGTAGCTCGCTAGCTACATGCTGGTCAGAGGTGGGTCTCGTTTTGCCTCCGTGGTTTCTATGATTGAATTTTTTTCGTTTTTTCCTTCTCTAGATTTGTGGAGCTATTATGGCAGCTCTCGGCCCACGCTCTGCGAGAAGTTCATCGACGGAACTTCCCAGCGGATGTTGCCGAGAACCCCTTGCCAGCGTCGCTCACGGAAGTCATCACGCAAAATTCACATGCATCAGCACTCCTTGCCGTGACAAGGTGGAGTGCTGATTGGTAGATTTGGTTGATTTGTTGATTGTTGGAACTTAAGTGTTTTGGCAGGCACGTATTGCTCTAGAGCGTAGGCGAGGTATCTGACTTCTTTTTCTGCCTGCTTTGAATTCGACTAACTTGTCGATTACACTGAACGGAGGCTTATTTACATCAAGAGCTGGAGAAAATGCAGGAGCTTTAAAGTTCTAGAGCATTTGCAAATCAAAAATTACTGTCAGCCTCTCGAGCTACAACGCATTGGGAGTCTCTTCTAAAACATACTGGTCAGTTCGTAATTCTTGGATTTTTTTATGTTCTTATTTTTGTCTGATTTTGTGTTGATTGTAGAGAGGCACGACAAACTAGCAAGCGGCCCTATAGAAGACTTGATTGCTCATCGTGACCACAGGTGTTTAATCTTTTGGTTCCTGGATTTTGTTTGACGCTGTGCTTATAGATGGATCGGCTTTGCGTGTGGCCATCGACCGAGGGATGAATGTCATACCAAGTTCGTGAGCTCCAATGACGAGGACTGCAATCGGCAACTAGAAAAGCAGGAGAGTGGCGACGAAGCCAGAACAGACAGGGCAGTTAAAGGGTCGAGCCCGCTTGATGTTGCTGAAGTTATTAGACGGTGGACCCATGCTTTGCAACGCATACACAAACAAGCTCAAAAGCTGGTAAAAACTTTAGCTGTGTCTAACTTGCTTACATGACTGGAATTATCGTACAGTCACGAAGGCACTTCCTAATCTTATAAATGCGGTGGATGCTTGTGAGGGACACACAAGCATTACGGGCAACGTTAGCGGAGCAAAAACAACACATCTCAAATATGCAGGTATTAGATTCTTCTCTTGCGGTTATTTGTTTGTTTAAAAAGGACTTGTTCTTCAGGTGCTCATTTCGCAGCTAAAGGAAACCACTCCAGGAATGGAAGCAAACATTAACAAAGTCCGTCAACATGTCAATCACCCTGCGGTTTCTTCTGCCTCTCAAGCTGTTTTCGCTGGGTATAGCGTGTATTCTGACTCTGCACTTTCCTCTCAAGTACGTGACCACCTTGTTTGAGCCATGTTCTGACTAGCTTTAGCAGGACGTGACTTCGGACTGTGTTGCTGATGATAGAGGCACTCCTGGACCTCTAGAACTGGCACCTCCAAGCCCGACACTAAAGCTTCCTCAGCTGCCAACACTGTTTTCGCCGTTTTCTCTTTTGCACAAAGGTGGTGACGACGATGATTTGGACCTCCGCCCGTCTTCACTGGCTTTCTCTGACCACAAGGACTACGAAGGTATTCTAAGATGTAATGTCTTATATATCGACTACGCTGGCTTTTATATTCCAGATGATTTCAAAGAATTGTGGCAAGCAGTTCACGAAGCCGCACTCTCAAAGCCTGTTGAGGCCGTGGCTGAGAACACCAGCACCAGTAACACGACCTCAGAGCACTATTTCACGCCTTTGACTGTACAAAAGGAAAGCGTCAATCCAACACGGTCCTCTCCACCACTGTGGTTTCCAGGACCAGGACGACGACTTGCTAGGTGCGTTTTACACTCTGTTTCTTTTCTGTCGTGATTTCACTCTGGGCCTTTTATGATTCCAATCCAGCTCCAGCAGCTACATCAAAATCGCCATGAGTTTTGCAGCTGCTCAACACAGTCACCCACGAGACTCCATCAGGCTCAAAAGGAATGGTTGTCAGCAAAGCTAGGCCCCTTGCCAGCAGATCGATCACGCAAACGTAGTGATCCATGGTGGCAGCGAGAGCATAGTCCCCTCTCATGGAAACAAAGTACCCGTGACCATCGTGGAGCAGCCCGGCAGCGCTACACGCAGCAAGAATGGTGGTGAAGCTGACAACGTCCAGTTCTAGTCCTTGACTCTCAGTCAACTCAAACAGCTCGTGAGCTCGTCGGCCATGTCCGTTTCGAGCAAAGCCCGCCACCATGGTCGTGCAGAGCACCAAACTCCGCTCCCAGGCTCGGTACTGCGAGAAGATCTCCGCCGCGCTCGACACACTGGCCGGGGCTCAAAAAATCCGGAGACCGATTGAGAGCTTCCACAAGATGGTTCTAGAAGGTCGAAGCTCGTCTTCGATGCCTTGCCGGAGAAGAGCCTCGTGTCGTGGACGTCGATTGTCCAGCTATGCCGACCACCAGTGCTCTTCTCGAAGGACTCGCAAGCGTCTTCCAAGCTGTGGCATTTCCCATACATGTTGATGGCTCAAGTCTGCGTCCGAGCAGAGATCAAGCGAGAGCTCCAGTTCTTCGTGAAGCAGCCTTCCATGGCGGGGATCACCAGTCGAGGATGGTGATCCACGTAACTCGGTTTGGAGGCTAGCCTTCCAAGTCCATCCGCTTGATCAGGCTCAGAGCTCGAGAGAAGCTCCCGTGGCGAGCGTAGGCCGCGATCATCTCGGAGCTCTCCTCCGGCTCGCAGTTCAAACGTCCTGCGACCTCCCCGTTGGATCCCAGCCCCGCCAGCATTGAGTTCCAAGAGATAGTGTTCCACTTGGGCATTCGATCAAAGACGCTCTTGGCCTGCTGGAGGTGATGAAGATAGCGAGGATCGCCTTCGCCAGTATGCTGCTGCTGGATCGCGTCGTCCACAAGACAGCCCTAGAAACAGCCGAGGCAGACATTTCTATTTCCTTTACCTCACACCGCAAACCCTAACTCGCAGAGCTTTGATAATATAATCCACGGCGACAGCCTCGTTTTGCTTACGTGTCTGCCCAGCTCATCACTTGCCCGCCCAAAGATTTTAAACTTCGGGGTTCCTTATAGCTTTAGGGTTCTACCTTGGAAGCTCCTGGCTTTCATCGACGCGCCGCGATCGACCTGTAAATCGCAGCTTTGATCAATCGCTGGATGATATTTCGGGGCAAATTTCAGAGGACGACACCAAGTGTAGCTCCAATCGGCAGCGACAGCGCCAATGCATCGATCCAAGGTTTTCCAGGCCATGATTCATCGTCAGTGACATATTTCGTGCCTATTCCAGATGAATCCTGGCGCATTGCCGCCGTCGACACGCCACGATCTAGCTCAAGGCAAGTTAACAGGCTCGGACTGGTTAATCGAGGCTCAGACCCGGTTCTTGGTGAATTTTCAGGAGCTCTTCAGCTCAGCTGCCATTCCTGCACTCTTCAGACCTTTCTTGGATTCAATTTTGTTTTACCAGCCACGAGTTGCAACGCCTCCTTCAACTCAAACTAAAGTAATCAACCCTTTTTAAGTAATAATGACAAGTTCTCTGGAATATTCAGGAGATCTTTGGGTCTATTGCTACTCTTGCACTCTTGGGACCTCTCTTCAGCCCTTCTCTGGCTCAAAAGCCACCATCTGGCCATGGAGGGCATACACTGGAGACAAACTCCCTCAGTATAGCGATGGTGTTGTTTATTGCTGTCTCCATTTTGGCAGTCGTGGCCACGCTTTTCTTCCAACGCGTGCGCCAGAGGCAGGACGAGGCAACCGAAAGGAGGCAGAGGAGGATCAATGATTTCTTCATAGCAGCACACACCGATGTAGGTGCTGAGACTCTCGCTGCCAGTGGACGAGTTCTAGGCCTCAGTCTCTCAATGGCTGTGAAGATATGAGCTCAATCATTTTTACTTATCAAACATTTGTAAATGTTCTTAGCTGGAAGTCATCTGGATCGTATTACTAAATGCTGCTCCAGATCCGGCATGGGATTATGCCCCCCTTTTCATTGTGCTTGCTGCTGATGATCGAGGATGGAGAGAAGTAAGTCTTTATCAAAATTGGTTCTCTACGTGAACTAAAATAATTCTCTATGTTGCAGGCTTTAACGGCATCTTTTAAACGTTTTTTTAGAGAAATGCGAAATGGCTTCTTACCTGTAGACTGTGAGGTGGATATTTCGGAAAGGTCATGCATGGCTTCTTACCTGTGGACTTTCAGGTGGCTATTTTCTTCACTGTGATATTCCGGCATAGTACAGGACTCTTCAGCCTCGGTATCACTCTTCCCACTGACGCTCACGTCAATTTCTACGATTTCACGAAGTTCTTCTTCCGAACACTATCTCACGATGGCGAGTACTGCTTGAATCTGGATTACTCGTTCTTTTCAGCGCAAATCTACACGGATTTCGTGAGTGATGTATATGATGCAGCACCCTGGCTCGATTCACTTTACATCGAAAGTTGCTTCATATATTACCTTTCAAGACGGGCTCCTCTAACATCGTGCACCTAGATGACAGGTTTGAATTTTATTTCTAATGTTTTATTTGTGTTTATACACCGTTTGTAGAGGATGACATTCCTCGTATAACGAAAGTACGTCTTGGAGAAAGACTCTTGAACATGAGACGTAACAATCTAATCGATCAGGATTACTACTCGCAAGTTTTACACTTGTTTCCGGATGCCACTGATTTGGTAAGTTTGATATTCCTTTGACCATTTTCATTTAGCATTAGCGTGCGGACCTGTACACCTCGCTAAATAAATCAAAGACCAGCACCACGGTCCGACCAAGACGTCCGTTTGCCAGCCTCTCTCGTGGAGGAGCTCTCTTTCACTTCCAGGACGCTTAGCAACGCCACCGTGTGTCGAAGTCCAGCGCCATCCTCATGCGGAAGCATCTCACAAGCATCTTCCAAGCTGCTGATGTCGACGAGCAGGCAACTCAAGTTCGCATCCGTGCCGAGATCAAGCGAGTGCTCCAATTCGTGCGCAAATGGTGATCCTCGACTCAGGACGCCACCTTGTAGAATGCTCCGATCAAGGCTGATGGTGCTTTTCTCGATTCCGTCCAGCTGCCCATGCTGGGCATATGATGCGAGCAAGATCTTTCACAAGAAAAAAAATCCGGTCCCTGTATATCCCTGCCCTTACCGACGCGGGAATCGCTAATGGAGGAGGAGGTGATCACTACCTGCAATCCTTCAGCGATCGCTAAACATCCTATTGGAAACTACCCAAGATCATTTTACACAGTCATCTCTCCTTGACACAGAGACGCCTGTCCGGCTTGTCAAAGGAGTTCTTGCGGAGCTTTTTCTGATACCTCGGACTCCGGGTTGGGCGCCTCCAATCCTTTCTTCTTGTCGGCCGATTCTTTCCTTGACCGGGCAGCCTTGACAGCCCGGGACTGCTCCTCGTAGCTCTTCAGTGCCTCACGAGTTCGCTCCTCTGCTAATTTGAGCGCCTCCCTAATGCTTGGGCTCATCCTCTCCATCGCAAACCCTAACTCGCACAGCTTTGATGAATAAAATATAGCTCTCATAGTCACTGCTGTTTCTTGCTCATCACCATTTAAAAGGAAAAAAAAAAAAAAGAACCATAATGATGGCATGACTAATTTCTTGATAGAAGAAGAAATTTTAGAAAACTGTAATTAGCTCCGAGAGAGCTGCCAGAGAGATTTTTAAGCTCCATTCCCTCGAGCTTGCTTCTAAAGCTCCATTGACCGGAGTTTCCCCGGCATGTACGTTGAAAACCCCGGCCAGCCTCAAAATGTCCACTATCGCTTCGACATTAGCCAGCATGTAAGTTATCACGTTCATGGTCATGCCGCAGAAGGACCAGACTCCCGCGTTCGTCACAGAGGGATCGAGCAAAACGGTGTTGCTCCTCTCGTCTCTGGAAATTACTTTGGAGACCACTACAATGGTATAGCTTTCAGCCAATACACTCCAGAAGTGAAATTTTACAGGAAACTTATCAACAAATTCGCTGGCTGGATGTCCAAGGTTTGGAGAAGCAATAAGATCAAAACAGGCACCTCTTTTCAATCTTGCAAGACCGGTGCAAGAACACTCTGGATAGTTTTGACCACCATCAAAGGTCTTACACTGCTTCTCTTTGTGTCTTGCCGTACAATGGTTTTTCCAACGTCCGATGTTGCAGAGTTCCCCCTTTGGTTGACGAGATCTCTATTTGATCTTCGATCACTGAAACTTAAAATCCCAGAAGAAAGAGAGACAGTAGAGCAAATTCTATATCAAAGTGATGAAACCGAGTTCCATCTCGGGCAATAATATGCCAGTCTATGATCTTGGACGCCATGCTCGGACTGTCATGACTTGTGGCCGTTATCGCAAAGGATCCGGACTGAGCAAGCTCCAAGGATTACTACGAGCCCCTGTGATCGCATCTTCCAGTGTGTCTCGCATTGCTGCCATGGACCGAAAGCTTGCATGCCCTGGCGGCATGCAAGCTCTTGGACGAAGAAGGGGTGAAAAGCCGGGGAGCTTGGATTTCAGAAGGACGTGGTGGTGGCCACCACCCCTTCTTTGATCCATCTCTTCGTGAAGTGCGGGTGCCTAGAGGAGATGCTGGAAAGTGTGTAAGTGTCGATGGAGATCTCTTCTCTTACCATCTCCTTGTAAATCTCCGGTGCCTCCTTGGTACATAGCATTCTGGACGTAGCACTCGACGAGGTTGCTCCAGGAGAAGGCTTTGCGATGCTTGATTCGATCAAAGACCTCGTGGGCATCCTCGGGCCTCTTGCATCTCCCCCTCTCCCATACATTTGGATGATCATATTGGTGTCGTGCTCGTCGTTGGCGTGATCCCTGACGAGATTGCCATGGGCCAAAGCCCTCTCCTGGCCACATTTCTTGAGCAATCTCACGTACTCGGGAAAATCCAGGCTGCTCTCCGATAGAACATATTTCAGCCCTTCCATTTTTGACAGCTGGATGGGAGCTTCTTGACGCAATCAATTTTAAAAACTGACAATTTAAAAATCAACATATTCCATATTTTGATGACTTTGCCCTGCTTAGGTCTAGGGCAAAGCACAATTATCCCACATGCCCAAGCGCAAATGAAGCTCATCTCTTTAAATAGTGTCGCGTTTTGTACACATGTACTTCTTGGGTCGTAGAGTATGCGTCTGATGACCCGTCTGTGTGTCTCGAAGTATAAGTCATATTCCGACCCCTGAAGTTTTGTAAAATTTTTAATGGTAATTTTTTTTTTGCAAAAATCTTATGCGAAACTCCGGTTGATCGATCGATCGCGAAGGAGCATTGCGAATCCAGGATCACACCGGCTTGATGTTCCTGTAGGAGATCACAGCGTAGAATGGATCTTTCCCTGGCGCTCGCCAGAAATTGAGGAGGCGAGAGATGAGAGTCGAATCGTCCACCATTCCGGGAATCCTCTTGATGATCTCCGGCTGCGTGAATCCAGCCACGGCCTGGAAGTACTGGACCACGAGCTGGATCCTCGAGTAATCGCTCCCATTCCTCCACGCCGCGATTGCCTTGTCGTAGAACATCCTATTGCTGAAGCTCACGATGCACACTCCCCCGGGGCGAAGAACCCTAAGAATCTCCGCGAAAATCTTCTCCGGCTGCTCCAGGTACTGCACGCTCACGGCACACACCACGGCATCGAAGCTCTCGGCCGCGATTCCGCTCAAGGATGGATCGCGATTGAGGTCCTTGACGAAGAAATCGTCCAGGCGCTTGTTCTTGAGGAGCTCCTGGGCATTGAGGCCATGGCCGACGACTCTCTTGTAGGAGAATTCCGGGGGGAGATGGCTCACCCAGGAGCTCATGAGATCCAGGACCTCGGATCCCGCTGGAATGCGCTGCCGGTAGACATCCGTGAGCTCCCGGATGAATCCATCGTCGACGTGCGTGACGAGCCTGGGGAATGCGTAGAAATCGCGATCTGGAGCGATGTTGAGCTTGGTGCGATTACGATCGGTGAGAACCGTGCGCCGGGTCTGGCCGGCTCGA